ATATTTTTCTTCTTTCATTTTTATATGTATGTCTTTGACTTTAATATTTAAATAACCAAAATTTGGAATTAATTAATATTTGACCAAATACTATTTTATGCTTAAAAAAAATAAAATACTACAATGAATATTCTAGGCAGGTGCTAAAAGAGTTCAGTAGAAAAAAGGCCACAAATGTAAAGTAATTTGTTGATATACATATATAAAACAATAAAAAGAATATACTGACTTAGAGGTAAACAACTTATCTCGCTAAACAACAAAAATCCATCAATATTCCTATCTATTTAACGATGGTTTGGTGACAAATTATCAAAATTATCTTGTTAGCTATAAATTATTAACACTCAAACCTCTTTGGTGTTTGATTGCTAAATATTTAGTAAAAATGTTATTATGGAGAACATCTGATATAACATAACATAAAAATGTGATTCATTAAAGAAAAAAAGACAAACTAATAATAAAACTAACCTGTATTGTTTTGTATGAGGAAGTTTTCTAGCACCAAAAATATCACTCTCTTTGGTCTTCATTTCATATAATTCACTTTCATTTACCACCACAACACCTCTAAAATGATTTCTAATAGAAACCACAATAACTTGAACAAATCTTGTAAACACACTTCCCATAGGTTTTTTATACCTATATTTCTTAAATCCAACAATTAAAACAACAATTGATGTAAACATTGCTATTGTTGGCACACCAAAACCCCAAGTCCATCCTTTTTCTTGTTGCACATAAACTAAAAGTGTTATTCCCAATAATGCACCCATGTTAATTGCAAAAAAGAACCAATTGAAAAATGCATATTTCTTTTGTGATTCTTTTTTGTCTAATTCATCAAATTGGTCAGCTCCAAATGTTGAAACACATGGTTTGATGCCACCTGTCCCAAGTGCAATTAGATAGAGTGCTCCATAGAGAAAAGATGTTTGAGCATTTGTTGATGGAGTACATGGCCTCTTTGTGCATTGTGGTGGTCTTAAGCTGTCTATTGATGCTGATAGTGTTAGTAATATCATTCCCTGATCAGAGACGGATTCAAGATTTTAAAGTCAGAGAGTAAAAAATCATGTATATAATGTATTTACCACTACTTTTAGGGGTTTCCAACATAAAATTTAGCATATTTTATATAATAAAATTCGATTGATCCCTCCAGAACAAATAATTGTTGCATGCATGCATAACTTATACAACGCTTGGTTGACCTTTGTTAAAACTCTAAAATATTACTAATATATAATGCATTTATAAACTAGTAGTACTATACTTTTAGGGGTCATTTAGTAACAAAAAAATAATTTCAGTATGACGTTTCACATATTTTATATATTATAATCTGATTGGGCACACAAATAATTGTTGTATGTATAACTTATACGCCTTCAACTCTATTTTTATGATATAGTTTGAATCGATATGGAGTATTTTAAAAATCAACGAAGATTTTCTAAAATTGACAGACTCATTAATTACTTCTGCTAATTGTTATACATAGATTATACACTGATTATATATAGATATACGCATGTGATAAATATTGTGGAAAATTGAACAAGAAAATAAAATAAAATGAGTGATTTATTTTCTTACCATAAAGTAGATACATGAGAAAATAATGATGGTTAAGAATCGACCAAAATAAGCATCAGCCAAAAAAGCTCCAAGAAGTGTTAAAACATAGGCAGCTCCAATCCAATCATTGACATGAGTTGCGGCATCTGGCAATGATTGATGCATCTCAAACACCAAATATGACACCATACTTACTGCTACTGCAAAGAATGCCAACCTCTCCGCCACTTCATTGACTGCTCGATCACATCCAAAAACAAAATTAGAAAAAGAAAACGTACGTAGAACCATATTCTTTACTAGTTATATGGACGGAAGGGAGTTCAATTGAATCTGCTTCATTGAAAAATTATATTATATAGTCAAAATCATTTGTCTCGATAATTTTTATAATTGCAATTGCAAAATGTTAGGTTATTATATATCGAAAATATATAATATAATATAACATAAAAAATCGATAGTAAAAGTGGCTCATTAAATGTTTTTGGAATTATCTTATTAGAATTCTTGATTCCGCCACAGGACAAGGAAGTATCATACATGTTACTCCCTTTCTTGTAATTGAGCGATAAAAGGAAAAGGCAAGTTTAAGTTATGACGGTGGAAGAAATTTATATAATCAGATCGCTTAATTCAAAGATATAACTAAATCATGTAAAAAATATATTATATAATCAATCTTCTATAATAGTTCAAATATATTGATGGTATTAAAAAAAAGGAAAAAGGACAAATATACCTCCAAACTATCGTAAATGGTATGCAAATACCCTCCGTCATACTTTTGGGACATTG